CCTGTATGTAATCATGTCCGGTCTGCAGCCAAGTCTAGACTACAGAAGAAGTTTGAAAGGTTGGTGGATCAAAAGCGTCAATTTCAACAAGGGTTGGCTAATGCAAAGCACAACAATTCTGAAAGCCAATACTGTACTGATATCTCAGATAGCATACCAAGTGCTTCTCGTGTCTCACTAATTGGCGACGTGCACATCTCTGACAACGCACTTTCACTGTTAAATCAAGGTCCCAGTTTCGCGCCCACTCAGTTTGTTGGACCCAGGGTATCGCGCAAGATTGTGGGAAACCTCCAAGTTTTTCGAGAAGGCCTGCGTCATAAAGCCAATCAGATAGAACGCATAACATCGGAAGCAAATACCACTGATATCAAACTGCCTGTATTGCCGTTTCCACGTTTATTTTATAAACCACAAGAACCCAATCAGGGAGTAGACACTAAGTTCCGTGTATTTGCCACTTCCCTCATTCGGTCTTGAGCAAGTGTAAGAGAGCGCATTTTAACAATAACTTGACGCCTGCCCAACGCCGCGGACTACGTGAAGTTCGAGATCTCTGCGCCGCTGGTAAAATCAAATTATCCATAAGTGACAAAGGAGGAGACTTCGCTGTTTTGTCCCGTGAGCTCGATATCGCTATTACGCAACTCCATCTTGAAGACAGTACAGTGTATGAACCATTATCAGCAGCGGACTTTAAAAGGCAATATCGTCATTTGAACAAAGTTTGGGTGGAGGTAGCCCGATCGGAGGGTATACCAAAAGTTAGTGACTAGCCTAAAGATCAATTTACCCGCTTGCCCAGTGCTGTACACCCTAGTAAAGACACATCAATGCCTCCCAGCGGTCTTCGTTCAAATAACCCACAGAACTTCAAAATCAGACCTATCATTAGCAGTATTGAAGGTCCAACGGATGAGATCGCGTGGTATCTAAATTCAGTACTATCGCAGCTGCTCAAATATGTCCCGTCGCACCTCTCTAATACCGCTACGTTTTTGGATTGCCTACATAATACGCGTGTAGATCAAAGCAGCATTATAGAGTCTTTCGATGTGAATGCACTCTATACGAATGTGTCACCGCGATGCTATGGAAGCTACTTTTGAGCTATTGCAAGAACACGAATCTTCACTTAACTTGCGGCGTTTCTATAAGAGGAATTATGACCCTTCTGAACGAATGCCTTCAATGCTCAATATTTCGGTGGTCCGGGCACTATTATAAGCAAATTAGAGGCCTTACCATGGGACAACGTTTAGCCTCAACGCTAGCTATCGTATTTATGTCGAAAGTGGAAGCGCCAGTCCTTGAAAACCTTTGCTTTACTGTCGTTATGTAGACGACTGTTTCATTGTGTGTCCAACTCAGGCCGAACTCGACCTTTGTTACGAGATTTTGAATCAACAATTTCCGCATATCAAGTTGACTCGAGACAAACCCACGAACGATTGGCTAGCATTTTTGAACGTTGAGATTCGATTGATGGATGGCGAATTCAAAACAAGATGGTATCGTAAACCTAGCAGGAATATACTAGTGCACTACGTTTCAGCGCATCCGGCCCACATCATAAAGTCGGTAATTGTTAACATGTATAAAACAGCTGCAAACGTCTCGTCCGGAACCACAGAAAAAGTCTATTCCCTAGCATTGGCAGAAACGGTAGCAAAATCAAATGGGTACCCTACCAAAAAGCGCAACCATGGAATACGCAAGCGCAATGACAATACCAGAACTGCAGCAACCAAAACAAAAATTCCATTCTGCTTACCATTTGTGTCAGAAGAACTGAATCTAACAATCAGAAAGTTGATAGACCGAGCAGAATTACAGCACTGGGTACGAGTTGTTGACATACCACCTCTCAATCTCAAACATCAACTTGTTCGCAATCGAGCCTATGACAGACTATGTGCGACTCCCAATTGCGTTATTTGCCCATTCGGAAAGCAAGATGACTGTATGGTTTCTGTTGTAGTGTACCATATTACCTGTCAGTCATGCAGAGAATCATATATAGGTGAAAGTGGGCGCCCATTATTCACACGTATTAAAGATCACTTAGACGGGCTTAGAAGATCGAATCCTACTACGTCATTGGGCATTCACCGCCGACCGCGCCACAATGATGCAGAAATAAACATGGAGGTTACAATCTTAGCTTACGAACCCGAGATCCTCACACGCAAAACTTTAGAGAATTTGATCGCGACTGAATGTCCTAAAATGAATAGAAAAGATGAGTGCTTAGCCATCACCCAAAAACTGGCCCCGTATCAGACGCTATGTGGCTTCTGTGATAACAGTAGGCCGAGACCGGATCACTAGATCTGTAAATGAAAGCGTTGTTCAGCTTTTGGCATAATAAACACTCGATCATTGTTGACGGTTAGATAGCATTGGCCTACACTTGTTATTTGATTTCTTTTGGTTCACTGACAGGTCAGGCTTGTTTCTCGGTCGTGATGCGGTAGCTGACGGATTGTTCTCTAAGCACTCGACTTTTTCAGACCCCGAAGAAGGCGAAATCGCCGAAACGTTGGTCTTAATAAAAAGTTTTACCAATCTTGGGTTAACAGCTGAGAAAAGAAAATCAGTAATTATTTACTAGATAGTGGATACAGCTTGTTGTATGTTAGCACAAGAAAAATTCTTCTGAAACTTTTGGTCGGAGCCACAAATAGCTTTGGTGCTTGCCGTAATCAGTTTCTGCAGGGCGATTTAACTAATTATACTCAAATGCTAGGATCTCTAGAAAGTTGTAACCATGGAATGCGGACTCCCCTTCGTAGAAACAATGCTCTTACTTTATGCTCTGAGAACATCGTAAAAGAAGTTTGAAGGCAAAAATTTGAGCTCAGAATTGCAGTATTGTCAATATCGGATTTGCTTCAGCAGCAAAAAGTCGGATTTTATCTTCAATGCTCATGTCAAAAAGCATCCCGAAGGTAGATAAAACCCCGTCCCTTCCGATTCAGCTGAGAAACTGCAGAATTTCTTAAACGCAGGTTGTGGAGCGAAATACATGTGAAAGCATTTTCAAGGCAAAAAAGCAGATAATCGGTTGTTTTTGGAGGTATGACACAGCTTTACCAAAGCAGCTATTCAATGTTTTTGGATGTGTATCTACCTAAAGAAATTTGGAAGCTAAGAAGTGCTGTAATCAGTAAAAACTCCAAGTGGACCTATAATTTTGTCCAGCCTTCAAGCCTGCTTTTTTCAAAATTTTCAATTTTTTTGGATAACCAAACGAAAACGAGACCCATTTTGATGACTGACAGTAGGCTGGAAAAAACACGGCTGTACCAAATTTTGGAACATTTTATTGACAACAGAGTGAATTATGGCACCTTTTAAAGTGGACCTATAATTTTGTCCAGCACTGTATTACATATAGAAATGGCGGAATAGGAGAAAAAGGTACTGCGACTTTCAACTTTGGATCAACGTAGCAAGTGCATAGCACAGATGACGAAATAAAAAAGAAGGTTTCGTTACGCTAAGTAGTGCCTTCGCGGTAGTATAATGCGCGCAGCGTGAGCGCTGTGAGAAACGAACGTGTCTCGGCTACAGTCTATCTTAATGCCGATGTCACTTGGAAAGTACGCGCCTGCATATCGCGTGCTAGTTTTCGATTACTAAGGCCGATTCAAAAGCTCAAATATGCTCGCCGCAAAGCCTCATAGAAGCAGATTTTTTAAAGATTTACAAAGTTTTTCGCCTTTGAGAGTGTCGGGAGAGAATTGCGCCGCGTAACGGAGTCAGAGATTTTAATGCTAATAGTAAAGAGGCAACCGAGCTATGCTCTCAGCAAGGTATTCTAAATTCAGTTTCTGATGAAACCAATAGTTTTTTTTGTAACTAGTTATTTCTAAGTTCAACACATTATGTATCCACCAAACGCTTGTAACATTTATCTTGCAAGATACGCACCTTTGAACTTACGAAAATCGAAAAAATGACGTGCCTTCTTGTATTCTGCCTCCTTTGCTCAAGGCAATCCACCTACAGTCCAAGAGCTGTATAACTCTTCTAAAAAAATACATTTGACGATTTCAAACATCAATTTGAGATTAGCGTTTGAACGAGTATTTCGTTATACAGACGGGCAGATTGACGAGAAATTTAGCAGTAGTAAAAAAGTATAGTATTTATGGCCTCTCGCAGGAACTTCTACGGAACCTCTCGAGTTTCCGTAACCTAACTAAAAAGTCAAACGTAAGTCTTGACACTGCAGCAGCATTCATAGTCACCGGAAGTTAATCGTTATTACACAAAAAGTAGCTTAAACGGAACACAACTCATTTAATCATAGTCTTTTCTAACCTTTCTCAAAGACCCTTCTCAAACTCCGCATGCCGTGTCTAAACACATTATCTAATATTTTGTTGAAAGTATTGGATAATGTGACAACTGGCGATGGAATTCCGACATCCTTCTCAATGTCACAAATCTAAGGACGCTTGCACAAAATAAAAAAAGGATGACGGTTTGTCGGTCACTGAAACAGAGGAAGGGTACGGTTTTGATAACTGAAAAGAAAATCCGAAATCATTTCGACCACTACAGAGCAAAGTTATATCAAAGGGAATGTCTTTTAAAAGAAACATCAACACGAAAAAGTAGGGGCCCATGACAGCCTAACTATCTGTCATACGCAATATCTTTAGATACCGAACAACGACTGGTGGCGGAATCACAGCCTCAGAAGAAAGTTTTGCCAATGAAAATAACAAATTTTCATTCAACACTAGGATAAAAGCAGAATTGTGGAGATTTTTCGTCAAAACACCAGCCACTGTCCCATTCCGCGAAGAAGAGAGCGCTGTGGGCAGAAATGTTGGCGTAGACGCTGATTCTGATGACTGTTTAGCACTTGCAGAGAAGAACTCCAGTCTTCCAAAAAGATGCAGAAGACGAACGAACCCTTAATGATTAGGCTTAGGGGCGTACTGCGGCATATTTCTTTTTAACTCACTTCTTAACGTTTCATTTAGGATGAATTTGAAACACATAACGGCGAAAAAATCTGCGGATTTTATAAAAGACGAGGCAGAGTTGGGAGGAGGGCGAAATTGTGTGCGAGGAGTCGGAGGAACTGGAGGAGGAACATCTTTCGTACGCGGAACCGAAAGAGAAGGAGATTATAGGATTGATGAAGAAGAAGAAGCAAGAGGAGATGGTGGTGGAGGTCGAGGTCGATGAGGAGCGGGGGGGGGGGGGGGGGTACGAGGCACTTGGTAGAGGCGGCGGAGCAGATGGATTGAGCAGTAGCCGAAAGCGCAGGATTACAGAAAAAGATTGATAGAAGAGCAATTTTGTCTTCGCCAGGTAAGCAGACTTTTGACTGGAAAACCTTAATTATGTATAATTTCCAAAACCAAGGAAAATTCTTCGGCGAATGATACACACTTTGAATGCATTGTGTGATTTAACACGTCGCAAAAAACGTGCAAGACGGCGGAACATCAAAGGGGCAGCACGGCGGGCTGGGTGATGAAGGGAGGGAACCAGCGAATTTTGTTGCTATAAGAACATTGAAGATTCTGTCGTCTCTAGCCAATGATGAAGAATAAAATTGCAATTTTCTATGATATTTTCCCGTTTCTCTGCTTACATCCCAGTTAATATGTTTTGTTGCCGTATCTAAATCAGTTGTTTTCTGATAATGCATCATGATATAAAGGCGTTCTTTTTACACCAGCTTTTACACTATAAGGATGAAGGGGAAAGGCGAACAAGACTGTGTCATTCGATTACTTAGATCGATGTGATGGAAGCTTGCTACTATCGTTACTCAGCCATGAGTAGCGTGACACTATATAATAAAAGTACGTAATCTACCAACTTTATCAGACAATAATTTATCATTTAAAGTTCGTGAGTTGTCATTTGTCAGTTGTTTTGGAACCATCATTGATAGTTCTTAATGATAGCTTTGTCGTTCTTCTGCCTATCCATTCCGTCTTCCATGACATCATCAAAACCAGTGCTGTACGTTGAAGTATACAAGCTTGGTAAGGCAGGTTAGCAAAAATTGTTGCTTTCCTTGTCTTACACAAAAAGACATCAAAATTTGATAATGGAAGCTAACAGCTCGATTTATAATTTTCAAACTATAGTGAATAATTCACGAAGATTGGAAAATCAAAGATAACAATTTCTCATTAAAAAAATTTCGTTACGTATTTGCTCAACTTCGCTGTGCGATGTTCTCATCACTGCGTGTCCTTCCTTTCCAATATCTAGAATAATGACTAACAAAATCTAATTTTTACAAAACATCTTACTTGGATCAATTGATTGTGCATCAGCTCCCATCAATACGAATATGACCACTCTCAAACAACTAAAAGAAAAAGTCTATGGTAAGAATGTACCTCAAAGAGGTTTTTTGAAATGCAAAAACCGTTTAATGGTTCACGTGTTACTAATCCTATCTTACAACCGTTTTAGTGCTTACACGAATCTCCTCATATGAAGAGTTAAGATAGGCAGGTACAGTAGAAACTGACATATAGCGACAGCGAATCGTGAACACAGCTTGGAATGCTATCAAAAAGGTATTTTGAAGAGTCAAGCAGATTGACAGACTTGGTTTCTTTTATTATATAAGTAATGAGTAGGATACTATACCACAGCTCACCAGAGATTAAGCAGATGACGAGAAGCCGTTCTGTATCAACTCATAATTGGAGCATGAGTGAGACTGGCCCTTTCTGTGACCCATGTTTCAGTAATAGATGAGGCACTATAAATGAATGGGTCTTTTGAAATAGATAATTATGCTCTTTCACCTGCTCCTGCGGTATACCAAGAAAAAAGTGAGAAATACATAGAGATACGAGTCGTGACAAAGCTCAATATACGAAGAAGCAAACGATGCAAAAACTTCGGAAGTGACTACTTCCATGAATATTCCACAAAACTGTCAACCTATGCAATTACGCCAACCCGTTATGTATCTGACAAAAACTGGCAACTGACTCGGAATATAGATAACTTTGTGGACCTTAAAAGTAACAGCGACAATAATAAGGAAATGAGAGACTGATTGCAGCTTTATAATAACCAGATAACAGCAAAATCAGCATGAGAGTTGAGGCAGAAGGGAGATCTTTATCTTTATCTTTATCTTTTATTCATACTCAACGGTTCTACATGTTAGTGATAAATACCGTGATGATTTTGTCTAAGGCTTCCGTTAATCAGTATGTGACCATATATGCATGTTCCGTTCGCCTCCATTCACGAGAATCCATAACTAGTTCTTGCCATTTACGAGCAGATTCAAAGACATTACAGTGCTTTCGTATGTCGTCTCTCCATCTAGTTCTTGGTCTGCCATCACCAAAGCGTCTTCCGACAGATGGTGTCCAGCGCGTGAGAATTTTTGTCCATCTTTCTTCACCTTGTATCCTATAGATTTTCCCAGCGAACCGCCACTTCCTTCTCCGTGCCGCCGCTACCACATCCTTCAACTTCGTTATAGAACGAATCCAAATTGAAGATTTGGAGTCCTTCAGTCGAAATCCAAGCATCAGCCATCAGAAGGGAGATCAGTATCCATAAATTGGATATAGCGCTCAAAAAACTCAATATTTTTGATGAATATAGCAAAGCACAGTAGATTGATGTTTTCAAAACAGTTTTCCTTGTCATCAAGTTTCCGCTTTTTTGCAGATATAGGCAGCATTTCAGTACTAGAAGATTTTCATTTCATCATAATGCGTACTTAATAAGTACGTTCACCTTTTGGCCCACTCACGATATAACTGCAAGAAAGCAAAGATTATCTTATTTTCAGAAATTTGTCAACAGAAATCACCTTATGAATAGCATAGGGTGTAAAATGAGTTTTTGAGTTAAAATGCGTTTTTGAGCTACGATCAACTCAAAGGGCGGTGTTTATCAATCTCCGACTCGCTCTTCGGGCCATTATTGACGAGTGCCCGGACAGGGGAGAGCGCCGATCCGGTGATTCATCAAACTTTCAAATGTGGTAAGTTTGGCCAGTCGGGCACGACACTCGGGAAGCGGAGTCCGACTTGTCGAGATCTGGTTCTGCTGCCCGGCTGCCGTGCCCTACATGGCTAAACTTCCCATCGGACCTATTCTCCAATAGACAGGATCCAATTATCAGCTTGCCTTCGAGTATTGCAGGCGTCAGTGCACGCGCCTGTACGGGCTGTTACCTGTACAGGAACCCCTTCCAATATTGGACATTGATAAATACCGCTCAACAATTTATATAAGGGCAGAGGCAGGCGACTCAAAGCTTTTTATCAGCGAGAGATCTCGCTAAGCAGTAAAATAACGTCATTTCACATTTTTTTAACCTGCTATGGCTGATGAGCTGTCACTGCGTCCTAGCAGGTCTCCAATCTATCGTAGACAAGAGTTAGCTGTTAGTGTGTACTAATCTTATGATAACTGTCGAAAACAAAACATTGAATGCTTAATATGAATGTACCATTCAGATCGCAGCGTGTTCAATGATAAGAGAATAATACCTTTGATTTCGGATTTTATTGTCAACATGGTGCTCAAAAATGAGAGTCTCCTTCTTCGGGGTCAGAGTGACCGTTTCTTGAGCGCAAACGAGCACAGAAAAGACGTTTGGAATGCAATTTCGAAGAAGCTTTTTGAAAAATTCGATGTCGCATTGACCCCAGACAAGTGCAACAACACTTCAATAATAGGAAAAAGAAGGCCTTATCGCTTGAAAACAAAGAAGAAAGTAAGTTAGCGCTCTAACTTTCTGTACAAAACAAGCACATGACAGATTCCTCAAAAAAACAGGCGCAGGAAGATAAGTTGGAGAAGAATCTCTTCCGAAAGATTAAAACATTTCGAAGACGGAGTTTGAGTTGCAAACGTACTATAACTAAAGAATAGCGGCTCGGGGTGTGCCAAACGCGGACACATTGAGAATGGATGAGCACATATGCCAAAATTCAACCATCGCATTGCAGTAGCATGGAAAAGAAAAGTGGAAAGAAGAGAAAGAAGACGATTTGCCTGGGGGCTAAGCAGAAAAACGCGTTAACGTCAAGAAAAAAGTTCATTTGTATTAGGACGATTTTGTAGTTCATAATCATTTTGGTATTTGGTAGGAAAGAATGGCTAGTGGATCACAAAGTAATTGAACTTCCATGTAATGACTTGAATGCTCTACTCTAATTCACTCTAAAATACGAATTTACCAAATATTGGGTTGTCCCGAAAGTTTTGTCGGTTTTTCCAAACCACTATAAAACCGTACATTTCAACTATTCGATGCAGCTTTTCCTTCTCTTTTTTAAGAATACATTTTTGAACCACAAGCTTGTAGGTTTTTTTATATTTGCCAAAATTCTCCATCCGCCAGTTTTACGTGCTTAAAGTTCGGCGAATTTCTAAATTTTCATTGCAAAGTTTTGAGAAAGGTTGAGCATGGGTCAAACAGGGCAATTCTCGGACTACAAGGAGCTAATTTTAGGTTTCCCTAATTTGCTGTCTTTAGCTTGAAAAAACTATTTCTTGAGAGGTCTCGATTTTTGGCAAAGTCATGAAACACGCAACTGCAGCAAATACACGAAAGCTTCCAAAGTTTTTGATTCGAAAAATGATTCTATTCAAACATTATTTATGTAACATGACCAAGTCTGATTTGCTTTAAAAAAGCAGCTTTTTGGAATTTTCGGTACTTTTACGTTGTAAACGTAAACAAAAAGCCGCGGTTTTTATTAATTATATACTAATTATGACGGACTCGGTAAACGTGGACCATGCAATCTAAAGTGGACAAAATGTAGCCAAAGGTTTGCTCTACATGGCAGTTATCAGTGATCTTTGATAACATCAAAATAAAAATTTTTTAAATCTGGGAAAGATTTGGCGTTACTGCTGAGCTGCTCAAAAAGCCATAGCGTCGCAAAGACAGGGCAGATCAAAGACCAAATATAGCTTTGAGAAAGAGGATAAAAATCTGGTTTAAATGTTACCTAGTTTGTCCATGGACTGATGTTCTGTGAGTTTCAGTGATTAACGAAAAAACCGACAAAATTTTCGGGACAACCTATTAGATGCTTTGGTTGATTCCGACGTATCGGACGAAGAGTTGAGGGAGTCCAAAAGTTGCGTGAATGAGAAATCTGACAGAACTTTCGAATGTTTCAAACCTTCCTATGAGAAACTCGACAAAGATCTGGAATATTGAACAATGCTTTAGGTAAAATTGCAGGCTCTGACTGCAACCCACCAAAGTATCACAGAAACAAACAAGGATGTGCGGAGCAATAATTCAGTTGGCCGAATTGCAAAAGAAGGGTCAGAGCATTATAGACTATAGTGAGCCAAAGGATTCGTTTCCTAGTAGCTGCACTGAGTTTGAATCGTCAAAGGATTTTGGATTTCTTACGCAAGCCCCAAAAAAGAAACAACAACTGTAGAAGAGCAGAACTTTGAATGAAAAAAATGTTAGTAAAAGACATCTACTACGCAGTATTTATCGTTTGTTGACCATTTCAAAATAAAGTTGTTTTCTTCCTCAAAGCGCTCTCAAAACATCACGAACTTCCCGCATATTGGCTGGCGGATGTGGCATAGTAGCCAAAGTATGAAAAAGATAACTCATGCAAAACCCATGTTGTGCAGCACTGCACAAGCAATGACTATCTTGGAAGCAAATTCGGTGTAACTCGCATGTCGGTGGATAGTATCGTGAAGCGCATTTTCCATCTCCCTAAAGTTCTCTCCACCACGGCGCGTACACGGCGATGCTCGTGATTGTAGCGCATTTTTGATAAATTACCTCTATCGCTTGTTGAGAAATAGGGTGCCATGATTTGGCTTCCATTTGCATAGCCGGAATCTCCAAAAAGCGCGTGACTTGCACATGTCTCACCAGAATTAACTGGCCCAAGGGCGCATCGCCCCACAGGGTCGCATCATTGTACAGAGCCTGGAAAACTGCTGTTGACCTAGAGGATACTGCCAAATGCATCCATGACTACGCAGACATTTGAGGCGGCGAATCCCTTCCTGCTCATGTACACAAAGTCATTTCAGGGAGGACTTTCGATTGGCACTGTTTCGTCGATGCAGCCAATTACATCTTAATAGTTTGTATTTCTCTTGTGGGTCACTGAAAGCCTACTCACTTCTAAATTTTCCGAGCCTGACAGATTTGCCAGTCCTATTTCTGCACCATAGAGTATCCCACAGCTTACAAACGATGAACTGTGACACTATTTCTGGATGATTTAGCGCCATAACTTCCCTGTGCACCACATTTGAAATTGTTCTTTGGCAGCACCTCAAAGTGTCACCAGGGACAATTTGGAACGAGTTCGTCGCAAGATATCTCACACCTATTGCCACCTAAAAGCTTTAGTGAAGTGCAGCAAAAAGTTGCCAATCGTGGGGGCCATAGCAGATTCTACCTGCTTTTTTGAGATAGCCCAAGATCTGCTGCTCTCATACGCTAGTTTCAATGACAAAATCATCGTAAGCCATAATAGCTCTCTTTCAGTGAAGCAAAATCTAAAGCGTATAAAAGCTCTGTTTCTTGAAAAGACCTCGCATAGATCACTGCAAACATTCAATATTTCTGTGGCGCCTACGAGGTGCAGCACCAGCGCTGACATCTGCAATATGTCTCTAGCAATACTCTCTTACAACGCATGCTAAATTTGATAACACATCACTATTTCCTGACGACATATTGTTAACGTAGGATTTTGGATGAGAAGCTCTTACCCTTTGATTCAACCAGCTTGGCACGATCAGGGCGGGGCTGCAGGGCTCCGCCCTCCAGCCGCAGCCGCTTCGCTTTGACCTGCACCGCGGCTGCGTCGCATCGTCCGGGCATTTTGCCAGGTTCTCCAGTCGATATGTCACTGCCGGCGCCTCATATGCGAGTTCGTTTCTTTCACGTTTCTTTCTTATTTTCTTTTCTTTGCTTAGTTTTTGCTTTCCAGGATATAGCTGCGTTTTGGGCTTTACGTGCGTATGCGATTTCAATTCCGGGTGGATTGTCGACGAAATTGGCTACTGATTTTGTAGCATCTGGCATAAAATCTGCGTTTGTTTATTCTGGTGCTGTTCTACTGCCACTGTACTTCAACGATGGGCCATTTGCTTTCGCAAATGGCAGGGTATGTTGGAAGAAACCTTTGTTGTGTTTGAAGTCTATGAGATGCTTTAGATGTTGCGAGACTCGTGTATTGGTAGGACAATGTTAGGTCTGTATTCATCTGCCGTCGATCGATTTGCGGATGAAAATGCTGTCGTCGCCAGGGCCCGGCACGAGCCGGTTTCTAGGGTTTCTGAAAACGAAGTCTATACTGACTTTCAGAAATTTTAAGAAGTTCCCTTTGACCTACCTACCAAGGAGAAGATGAAAACGAGAGAGGTCTACTCATCTGAAAGAAAAACGTGAAATAAGTGTGAAAATCCAAATTGGAGCTGAATACTACGCAGGCACAAGAGTTTGGCATTAGAGCGCGATATTTGATGAAGCGATTTATGAAGAAATTAAAGCAAAAAAAACAAAGGAGGCAATGATATGAAATTGTCTTTATGCTCATGGATAGATTTTTGACCGGGGAAGCCGTCCATGATAGAAAAATCCAAAACTTATGTGAGGTAACGAAAATATATGTTCCAAACGATCTCAGATCGTCTGGTGGCCGTCTAGAGACGATCTAAATTTGGAAAAGGTCTTCCTTTACATAAGTTTCCAAAACTTTTTGCATAATTCTTCCTCAAATAATTTTCTATGCATACAGTCCAATTTTGATGTCATATGATTTTGTGTACGCTGTAAACAGCAATTTGTTTGTTTTAGCCTTGTTTTCAAATCGCGCGCACTTTCCGCCATACACGGTAGAGCATGTCAGTCGTGTGATAACCTGTTCGAAAAGCTTGTGTTCGACTAAATGGTGCTTTCTTGATGTTCGGCACCGATTCGTCAAAAACGATATCTCCTTTGCTTTTTGCTTTAAAAACGAAGTGCAGCCTGCTTCCAGACGATCTGTGCCAGACCCTGGTCCTCGTCCCTGTGCTTGCTTTTCGTAGTGTTCAGTTTGTTCTATCATTGGTCAACGACGAAGGTAGGATGTTGTGCTATGCTAGCAGTTTTAATGACTTGATTGTGCCTATAAATCAGCTCTATAATGGGCCGTCATTGTTTGATATGCAAGTGGCACTACTGTCGCACAGTCCGATTGTTGCAGGTTGCATTGCTTTGACTCTGTCTATGCTGCCTTCAATTCCATGTTGCTCTGTCGTCGATCAAATCACGCTACTGTTTTGGTTGCTGCGTTCGCTTGTCATTCGCTATCCGTTGCAGTCATCGATCGAGTTGGAAGGTGAGTAGCGTTGAACTAATGGTTTGGTTGATCTGCTCAGTATTCAGTGCACTTTTCCCGTCGATCGAGTTGGAAGGTATTTTGGCGGTTGACTCTGCGGGCAGCTTGATTATCACCCGTATGTGGGATTTGAACGGGGCAGTACCCACGCGCATTCAAACCTGCAAATCCTTTCATAAAAATACATGTGCATCCTGCAAAGCAGGTGACTACCTTCGAATCTCAGACAAGGGCTTTAATTATGCTATCCCACAAATTGGTTGGCTTCAAGAACACCTTTTTTCTGGAGCGCATTGGTGCAGCGTGCAAGTTGAAATTGACATTATAGGATTGGGTGGCTTTACTTTCATCTTTTTATCAACTGTAAGCTGCTGTCTTTTCGTAACTTGGGGTCTATTCATGCATGCAAGATTTGTATTGTTCTGCTGATTGAGAAAAGGTGGGTGGACGATTTATGTTATATGGTTTTAGGTGGGTTTACTTAAACGCATCATCGCTTCACGTTGCTGTCCCAACGCATTTGTGCAGAAGTTTGGATGATGCCACGTTGCTGAACGGAGAGAGGAACTAATCTATCCTAGCTGGCTGGAGTAATTGAGAAGCGGTGAGTTCCTGTTCTTCTTTGTGTTTCATTTTTCTTTTGGACTTTTTGTTTTTTTTTCTGAGTTTACTTCTTTTTACATTTAAGACTTTCATATTTACTTGGATCTCAAAACTATGTCTTCTGAATCGGACACGTCAGAGAATAAGTCTTCTGACACGTATTCGCTTTCGCATGAGAAGCAGCTTGGTGTACAAGATCCGTCTTCTTCCTCATTATCCGCCATCTGCTTTTCCCAGGCTTCTGCTTTTTTCCTGCGCTCCTCCCTAAACCAGGCGCTCGCTGAATCCGCTGTTACCTTCGCTAGCCACTGCACGGTTCTCGCTCTGACCTGTAACTCGCGCATAACTCACATCTCAAATTTAGTCTGAAACGGGGATGAATGTCAGATCAAAGAAAAGTTTTCGTCAACAGACACCTATCACAGCTATCCTATCCTTTGTTTTGCCATACTTGGTCAGGAACCCTTTCATTTGGCCCCAGCAAGATTCTATTGGATTGAAACAACAATGAAATGGGGGAAGCCGCAACACGTTCACCCCAAATTCATTGCAAATCTGCTCTGTAGCGTAGCTACATAACACAGAGTATCCACCCTTCGACTCCGCGAAGTTTTTCCGCTAAATCATTCTGATTTATCTTCATCTGCGAGACCCAGACGATGTTACCTCCTCCAACAGCTTCGCTTTTGTAGCAGCTGTACTCACTTCCACTCCTTCCCTTTCGAGATAGTCCCTAATCTCCGCCTTTGTGGACGTCATCTTGGGGATCTTCTCTAGTTACCGGGTGTGGTACGGCGCGTTGTCCATAACAAGACAAACGACGGGCATGCTGTGAGCTGCGAATACCCCCGCGAGCTGCAGCCTACTGTAAAGCTGGAAAGGCTTCAAAAAGGCTTGCCCGCAATGGTGTAAATGCACGAAACGGGGCTGTCGTCAACGAATATCCTTTATATCGTCCTTTTCGAAATGCCCAGTGCGAGGGCAGTGATCTCGATGGGCGAACTGAATAACGCCTTCGCGCATGTGTCTTTGAGCTTGATCTTCATCTCCTCAGCAAATTCGAGGAAGCGCTTTACTAGCTCCTTTTCCTGGCGTCCTTAGTTCTTCCTTCTGCGTATATCTCCACGCCAGCTGCTGTGCTTCAATGATTCGATGGTCTCTTTACAAATCTCGTCGCAGCGGCATTCTTTTACGTCCTCGAAGTGTTCCTGAAACAGGAAGTTACTTATTCAGCATCATTCAACATTGTGAGTGTAACAGCCAACATGCTGTAAGTTCAGGAAAACACCTCTGATCTGTTTGTAAGTGCTTTGCATGTGCTTTATTACATTTATTGTGTGTTTCCAAGCATGAACCTCATCAGCAAAAAGTCGCAGTGCTGAGGAATCTCTCATAGTTCCAAGTCAATGCGACCTTAGACTAATTCCTTGTGAAGAACATGCAAGAGATAACTTACCACACTTGGTGCCACAGTGTAGTAAATAGTGAATATAAACGAAGAAGACGAATGAAAAGAAGATAGGTTTGAATGAGGCAGTAGTCCTTCGAATAAGGAAGCAGTGAGTGATGAGGAAGAAGCAGTAGTGGAATTATAGTAGAAGAATAGATTTTGTTACGAGAAATATCGTGTTTGTCCGACTCAGTTTCAAGTTCCTCATTCTCCTTTAGCATAGATCGCGTGAAAGCATTGAAGCAGAAATCGCGCTTCGTAGAAACGGTGAAATCCATCCAGTCAGCAGTGAAGGTTGAAGTCTGCTCTTAATTATCGAAACCTACCACGTCTGGACTGTAGGAAATCTGCAATGTTTCTGTGTACTCTAGCAACGGCGCGGTTGTTTCTTCCATTGCTTTATCTATAGGAGAATGTAATTCTTCTTCCATTGCACCCTCAGGAGAGTATACTGGATCTGCACACTAAACAATACTGGCTAACAACAGCAATCGCTTCCTCAAAGAGAAGAACCCTACTTGGCGAAAGCTTCGCGCCATCGAGCTAAGTTCTGGTATGATTACTGTCACTTTAAAAAATTGTTTTAATCGAAAAGTTATTACGATCAACAAGTTCTCACTGGTTCGCCGCCAAGTTTACGGGCAGTTGATTTGATGTCGTTGATGTTTGTAGTGCTAGCATAAGACTGTGCGGGAATGGTGTCCTCATGCGCGCGCTATAATACATTGATACGCTTCGTTCAAAATCACGTTGAGTAAGTAGTGTGCAGGACAGGAAAGGATCTTTTTTACTCACTGTCTGGGAGCGAAGGCAAACCGCCGTTTCTTTGATGTTTGGAGCGACTCGAACTGGCTGAAAAAGTGGATTAGCAATTTTAAGTCAGTTCAGTGGATATCTTACAGGAACATGTCGAAGACGAGCCGCGGTTGCCTTTATGTTAGGGATCGGATATTCTGGTCGAATGTTACGTGACAGAAACGTTTAATAGCCTGAATACCGCTAGCGGAGTCCGAACTGCACTTTGCGGATCGCTCTATAAATAAAATAATGGAAATGTTGAACATATATTTGGTATCAAGTACCAAGTGACTTATTTCCGGGGCTGCGCATGGCTCTTGGCGACTCGACATTGGAAACTAAATCAAAGCGTTCGAATAAAAATCAATAGCAATCAGGTATGGAACTTACAGAATTTCTGTTCGGATTGGCATTGTTCATTTTTACGTGAAACTGAAAACGTTGATAAATAGAATTAGGTTGGACGTCAACTATCAACTCAAATGCTTGTCGTTCGTGGAAAAGCGATTGCTTGGAAATGTGAATCGGATAGCGATACATGCAAATGTGAAAGATAAAGGTATGCATTTGACAATTTCTACGAGGAATTGAAATAGCAGAACCTTACATTCTCCATCATTTCCTTACTCTCGCTTTCACTCACACACAAATAGACACACACGCGAAAATCGCATACACATAGAAACACACAGACAAACACACAAACAAAGGGACAGAAAGACAGACACACAAACAAGCCACGCACAAACACACATGAAAACTATTACACAAACAAACAAACACGAACAAGCACATGCACAGACACACATACAAACTATCAGACAAATAAACACACAAACATACAAACACACATGACACAGACACACAAACAAACACACATAACACAGACACACAAACAAACGCACAAACATACAAACACACATAACACAAACACAAAACAAACAACACACATACACAACGCACATACAATATGCATACAAATGAACAAAAAACACAGCAAGATACAAGACGTACAATATGCAAACAAAACAAAAAATCATGCAAACACACAACACACAAAGAACAAGCAATATAAAGCACATTTTGCTTTCTTTATGGCAGGGCTGAAGCCAATTCGACCGTATCTAGGCGCTTATAGGGAGTTTATTTTTTTATCGTTGCTCAATCTCCTTATAAAACTTTGCATGGAGTAAAATCAGAGCATCAATCTACCTTGCCGGGTTAGCACCAATTCATGGCATAAGATAGCGCTGAATTCATGTTTTGCTAGATCTTCTCATTGAAACTAATTTCATAACGAATCGCCAGGGGTGGATTGAGCAAAAGGAACACGTGTGCACCCAGTACACGGAGAGAAGGTCAGCCATTTTTTATGATCAGTTCTTTATGTTTTGATATGGTTTACTACTTGCTTCTAATTTGGGTGTTCTACTCCTCTTCTTATCCTTCACACATAGAGTCCAAATTTGACAATGTTCTTTCATTCTGGATCATTACAAGCTTTGTTCCTACTTCCATCGTTTACGCCTTCTATTACTCATTTGTTTTTTCTAGAAGTTCATGGTTTCATCGAGAGTGACACGTGAAACGAACTAGCCACGGAGAAGGGTCAAAATCTAAGGAAATGTCTGGTTTACTCGTGCAAATGCAAAATTTTCTTGGATTGTTGTTCTTTCGTGATTCTGTTTACTTACTAATTAGTGAACAAGTAAGATCTTGATTTTTATTCAACGATTTACCAGCAATAAATCTGTGAAAGATATTTGTCCAGCGCACAGACAAATCGATAATGATGAAAGATACATGAGAACGCTCAATATGTCGCGGGTGTCAATTAAATCAACGAAGAAAGATTCGAAAGGAAGCCACTGTTTTCTCCGCCGATAATTAGCTGATTTTTGGTATGGGATGCGTTCAGACGTCCTGTTCAGTGATAAGACACCTAAAAAACTTCACCGCCAAAATACCTTCCAACTCGATCGACGGGAAAAGTGCACTGAATACTGAGCAGATCAACCAAACCATTAGTTCAACGCTACTCACCTTCCAACTCGATCGATGACTGCAACGGATAGCGAATGACAAGCGAACGCAGCAACAGAGTAGCGTGATTTGATCGACGACAAAGCAACATGTAACTGAAGGCAGCATAGACAGAGTCAAAGCAATGCAACCTGCAACAATCGGACTGTGCGACAGTAGTGCCACTTGCATATCAAACAATGACGGCCCATTATAGAGCTGATTTATAGGCACAATCAAGTCATTAAAACAGTTAGCATAGCACAACATCCTATCTTCGTCGTTGACCAATGATAGAACAAAGTAAACACTACGAAAAGCAAGCACAGGGACGACGACAGGTTTTCATCCGCAAATAGATCGACGGCAGAGGAATACAGACCTGACATTGTTATACCAATACACGAGTCTCGCAACATCTAAAGCATCTCCTAGACTTCAAACACAACAAAGGTTTCTTCCAACATACCCTGCCATTTACGAGAGCAAATGACCCATCGTTGAAGTACAGTAGCAGAAGAGCAGCATCAGAATAAACAAACGCAGATTTTCTGCCAGTGGCTACAAAATTAGTAGCCAATTTCGTCGACAATCCACCAGTCGGAGTTGAAATCGCATACGCACGTAGAGCCCAAGACGCAGCTATATCCTGGAAAGCAAAAACTAAGCAAAGAAAAGAAAATGAGAAACAAACGCGAAAAAAACGAATTCGCATGTGAGGCGCCGGCAGTGACGTATCGATTGGAGCACCTGGCAAAATGCCCGGACGATGCGACGCAGCCGCGGTGCAGGTCAAAGCGAGGCGGCTGCGGCTGGAGAGCGGAGCCCTGCAGCCCCGCCCTGATCATGCCAAGCTGGTTGTTTTAAAGGGTAGCTACCGGCAAGGAGTCCAATCGATAATTTACTATTGAAAAGTTTAGTGTATATCCTGCTCGGTAAGGAATAACCACCATGAAAAATGAAAAGCTGCACACCGAGTAGCACGTTTGGTAAAGGATTGCGAACAAGCATGAGATTGGTTGGAGTTTCCATCTCCTCCAATGATTTTGCTTTGCATGATAGTCTTCGAGGTTTTCAAATGGTTAATTCGTGGTTTCCTTGGGAAAATGATGTGAAGCTGCTGATTAGCTGTCACGAAAACGTCAGGTGTCATGAAAACGCAGTTAGAGGCAGTGTCCGAGCAAAACCTCGATTTTGAATTTTGTGCTTACCTTGGTCTACTCGCTCGCTGAATTCAAAAATCCATATTGGAGAGCGAGAAAACGGCGAAAAGGACTCTAACGCAGGAGGAAATTAGCAGGTGGGCGGGGTCCTCCTCGCTATGGATTCACGCCTCCAGCTTCTGGAGCGATCTTTTCGGTTCCGATTTCATTCAGCGTTTGCACTTGGTTGGTGGAGATGTCAGGGCGGCTAGCGAAATCGAGAATATCGCTCCGGAAGCTGGGAGCGTGAATACACAGTGGGGAAGACCCCGCCCTTTGCTGTTTTCTCTCCTGCGTCAGAAGCCTTTTTTCGCCGTATTCGCGCTCTCCAATGTGGATATTTGGATCAAGCATAGCCACTAGGCCCGGGTAAGCATAAAATCTCAAAATCGACTTTATGCCCGGACACTGCCTGTAAGATTACCATTATGCCCCGTGGGGATTCTCCTTGCCGTATGATGGTGTCGAACTTGGCTTGCTAACCTGGTGCGTAATCTTGGTGTCACAATTGGAGCATCACTTTCATTCAAATTATCGATTTTGTCGTCAAAGTCTTCAGCAACTTTTTTCACTATTTTTCGAAGCATACACAGGAATGATCCTGACGTTTTTCTGAGGTTGCATAAAAGCTATGCCTTGTCGCATCTCAATTAGCCTCGGCTAATAGGAGTACATTTCGCAAGGAAACATTGAAAGAGCCGGAAAAGTTCAAAAACGCCTACAAGATTATTATGTTATAGATGTTCTCCCAACTCGAACTATCCACAAGCCTTACCCACATACCACTAGCGCTTAAATGAATCAAACCTGCAGAATCTGACGCACAGACGCGTTGTAAATGATCTCACTTTGTTATAAGTCCTTCTATCTTGAAACCTGGGCATGCTACAGACAGTCTCAGTCTTTTTCTTTGCCGTACAGGTTTGTTATGGTAGTACCTTTATTGCCTTACGTTTCGGCTACACGCCGTCTTCAGAGGCCTGAAAGCAGTCAGTCACATTGATGTTCGCTCTTGGCCGCCAAACGCCTCCTCTCACTCGCGTATTCGATTCGTCCAGTGTAGAGAAAGCAGGTCTGGCGGTTGACTCGTACTCACCAGTGTACTACCGATACTGCAGTGTGCAACCGACTTGGGCGAGCTCGTTCGACTGTGGTGACAAGCAAATGAGCAGTGTGCATGGCACCAAACTGCTTATATATACTCGGACAATCTACAGCTCGCAAAACGGAAGATACGGCATGAGATCAGCGGTTATAGATAACTGTTCGTTCTTGCTGTTCATTTTTGGATCGCGTGCAACAATGAACGATGCTTCCAGAGCCTTTCGCGCAGGAATTTGGTTTTCAAAGGCTAATATCGTGCACCTTATATTGAAATCAACACCGCCGTGCTCTATTTTCCTATGCTTCCCTAGTGGGCTGATCATGCTTTGTTTCCTTTTACTGGCCAGGTGTTCATTTATACGTACGCTCAATGGTCGGCCGGTCTCTCCAATGTAACTGGCGGAGCACTCTAAACATTGGATCTCGTAGACGACACTTTGTACAATCTCCAATATTTCCGAAGGGCAGATCACGCAATCCTGTGAGTTACAAGATTTGTCATATAGTCTATTGCGGACCAATTGTGTTTTGATATTGTCTCGAGGGATATTCACTAAAATAACGTCATTCTCGAGACCTGCTCGTATTAGGCACCGCTTGATCGCCACAGAGACCTTTTCGGAGATGAAGGGTAGGCATAGGGGTACTTTATTGGTGACCCGATCTTTTAACTTTGTTGCCTTTCCTCGTCTGGGTCGCGTTACATAACCATTCAATACCATTATATCGGCCGCCTTTTGTAGAGACTCTTGCTTCTCGCGTTCATTTGAGATCGTCTCAGTCTTTTTCTTTGCCGTACAGGTTTGTTATGGTAGGTAGGTAGATCATAACGAACAGGTAGGTCTGGTTCATGCTATTGAAACAGGGTGTTTTTCAATGACGTTCAATTTTTTCATTTGAACAACTAAGTGGTTTTCCCTTCTTCCGGAACTACATCCGATGAGAACTCCAAAATATTTAAAGGGGATTGCAAAACATCAATGTGCTTTGATTACTTGATATCTGTGAGTTGGGCCAGACTGCGCTGGGAAAGCGGCGTACGCAGCGTACGTCGCGTACGCTCCTATGATGAAATATATCGAGCGTACGCTGCGTACGCCGCGTACGCCGCTTTCCCAGCGAAGTCTGGCTCAACCCTGTGGTATTGAGATGTTTCGTGTACTAGCGTCCGCCATCCACCGTTGTTCCAAATAGCTCTCCATGCCTCGCCAACTCGTATATACCTCGCCAAGCCGTACATACCTCGCCAGGTCGCCCCCACTTCGTCAAATCGCAATACTTTGCTAAGCTTTATACCTCTTCAAATCGTCCGCTCATCGTCAATTTCCAACCCTCACCACGACATATCCCGTCAAGTCGACAGTCCAGTCTATCTAGCCCAGTCCATCTATCGGATTCGATCTCTCCTTTTGGATAGTCAAATCAAAAGAAATTGAATTCAAGATCCCAGCTACTTGATTCTGTATCTCATTGTCACTAACTCTGACCAGGCTTTACTAACAATCATACCAGCTCGTCTCGGGTACGTATTTCCACTTCTCATTTTCAATCCACTCCGCGCCTAAAGTGCACAGGGTCACCTCTGCCTAGATGCTATGCTCTCATACTTGACTTGTTTGGCCGTCCAACTGGCACTCCTACTTACAGTCTTGCTATCCTCTAAAATGTTTCTCCATCTGGGCCCAGTCAGCTAGTTTCCGCCCGTAAGCTAGCTGGCACTAAAAAAAGGGTGTCAAAAATAATTTTGAAGGATACAAGGTTCGAAAGTCGTTTTTCTTTTTCTCAATGCAAAACCGTACTCTCATTGATATATGTCAAATGGCATCGCTACATATTAGTGGGCCCTAGGTTTTGGCTTGCCGACACGTCCACCGTTCACTCTCTGAGTTGTTTCAGACTGCCGCACTGACCACAGCAGACTGCAGCAGACTGCGGCTGATCGCAATGACCGCACTGGTCACTGACTCCTTTCGTGCAAGAAAAAACAACCGCGATTATCAAAACACCGTGATTTACGCCCAAGAAGATCATAAGTTTCGGCACAATTTTTCTCAATCAAATTTTGGCGATAGTTTTTCTCTCGTATGTTCGTATTTGTTCTAATTCCTCCTATCATTGCATATACAGGGTGTCCCAAAATAATGTGCACACTGTTTGATTGTTAATAACTCTCCGACTATGAGGTCTTTCGATAAGCGGTAAGCGCTATTTTGTAGAGCTTGCTTCAACTTAGATTAACAGTATAGAGCGGATCGTCCATCTTCCTCCGTTACTGTAAGATTACGGTAGAAACTTGAAAGAGGATTTTGGGCCATGAAAGGCCATATTTTGCCTCAGAAAAAAAACAGCCTGAAAACTTTTACACTAGGCCAATTAGAGTTGCTAATTCTAACTGAAAAGTTCCCAACTTAATATGATGCTTCATTGAAGAGTTATGCCAGGTAAGAGGTAGCGGCCATTTTTTCAATGGTCCTAAAAAGTGCGGTTGCACCGTTTAGAAAGCTTCGCAATCTTGTGAATAGTTGAGTATTGAACTCAGCGTCCCTAAAAACCCTATCACACAAGTTTTCACAATTTTTTGAAAATCTTTGAAACGGCAGCTTTTTCCACAGTGACACCATATGTTCCAAGTTTCTACCGTAATCCTACAGTAATGAAGAGTAGTCGGTGATTCGCTCTACACTGTAAATCTAAGTTGAAGCCAGCTCTACAAAATGGCGCTTACCGCTTCTCGAAAGACATCATGATAAGAGAGCTATTAACAATCAAACAGTGTGCACATTATTTTGGGACACCCTGTATCTGTTTTGTAACATTCTAGCCCGTGCTGCCTTTTGCTTTTAGGTATATATTGTTGTTGTTTCTTTGAGCCACAACTATTTATCCTCTCCACCTGTAGCCTTCAGCCGCTGCGGCCGTTGCAGTCAGTGCGGCCAGCTGCAGTCTGCTGCAGTCAGCGCAGTCAGCTGCAGTCCGCTGCAATCAGTGCAGTCAGCTGCAGTCTGCTGCGGCCAGTGCGGCAGTCTGAAACAACTCTCTGAAACCTTCTACAAGCTGGTATCATGTTTTATTCGACATGTTTGAGTTTGTTCTTTTCTCTTGTCTGGTGCACCCTGAGTGTATTAATAAAATAAAAAATAATTATTAAGTTGATTTATTGTTCGTATGTGCTTTGCAATTCATCTTCAAAGCGCCGTATCTTTTCTTAAATCATCTTTTTGAGAGCAATAGCAAAAATCAAATCTTTCGCGTTACTATACACACTTTTGTTTATCTATAATTAATACGAAAAAGTTTATACAATCCAAAAAACGCCATGAATTTTTTTTAGAATCCTTTATTTTGAGAAAGCTTAACTTACTCTCAAAAGTAGTAGGGAAGCTCAAACTTTGCTTAATACGTAGCCAATGGTCAAGAGGGCTGTGGCCAAATACGCGGGCTTTACGGGATTTTTTACGAGGAGCTACTGCACAAAAACGAAATTACCTATTATTTTTTCTAGTTTCTAAAAGGAGAGAAATTCGAAGTTTTTTTGAGAATTTTCAAGTTCTTTCCCGCTGAAAAGCTGAAAAATCTCAATTTTCTAATTCGTGTGCTATGTCTACTCTGTGTACACAGCAAAGATCGCAGCAAATGGTGCTTGCTTCAAAATTTTACACAACATTGATGAACCACAATGACCGGTCAAATTTGTGGTTAATTTCTCGTTTGAGAACTTTTACAGAATTTTGCTTGTGGGAAAATTTTGTAGCAGAAAGCTGCAAAGTCTCCCATATTCGAAAGCGTGGAACTTGGTATCATACAGAGCGCTGAAAAAAGAAAGAAAAGAAAGCATAAGCAGAAAACTAGAAGAAAGACTCTTTTAGATAGCATTGAAAGTTTTTGGGAAGAATCAGTTTCCTTGAAAAACCAGCACTTGAAAAAAGAGGTGACAAAAACGTGCGTTAATTATGAATCAGCTCAATAAAAGCAATTTCTGAACAATGTTCAGAAAAAGATTTTGGAATATCAAGTGCAAGTGTACTCGCATGCTGGGATGTGGATGCGAGTGCGCGGTAAAATCATAATCTGAGAAGTATTGGAATTGCTTCTTCGATCGGATTCACGTAGATGCTTATATAGAGGACTCATGGAAAGGATTTAGCCAAAAACTCAGTACTGCTGCGCTCCTATAGCTTTCAAATTCACATTATAGACAAATGGCTAGCACGCAAGTAACCTTCGCAAATTTTGCGTTTCTGAAAGAACTTGATAGTGCAAAGCCTATACATTGTATGTATCAAAGTGCTGTAGAGTTTTTAGAGTTTTTAGCTAAATTTGTGGATACTAAAAATTCTGATTCTTTCACTTCGTAGAAGCACTTGTTTGATAAATCCTTACAAAAACATATGGCAAGCATTTTTAACTAGGTAAAGTGTGTGATCTGTAGAGGATGACCGCGGCTTATGTAGCACAAACATATACATAAAGCTGAATGCGTGTT